TATATATATAATATATATTATATATATATATATATATAATATATATTATATAAATGTTATTTAAAATAAAATAACAATAATAACTTATAAAAGCCAACTTGCTTTCATCCATTGATTGGTATTATATTTTTCTCATTTTACAAGAGACTTTTTTTAATAATACTCATTTGTGATTTATTGAAATGAGGACGAAAAAAATTGTTCACTGTGTATGCTTGTTTATATAACATGTAGGTAATATAAAACCAACCGTGTAACAAACATTGTTATTTGGTGTTTAATTTCTTGAAAAAAAGGGATCACTTCCTTTTTACTTATATTTTACTTTTAAATTTGTAACATCAAAATTACCATATTATTTTTAAATTATACAACTGCCATAAATTTAACATGGTTTTTTTTTATGATAAAGTTTTATTTGTTAGTTTGATTTGGTTAATAGAGCTAAAGAATATAAAATCTACAATTTTAAATACTAATGGAAGCTCTTTCGAACTTCACTTTTCAAGTGGTAACAAGAAAAATTAATTTAATAATAAGTAACACATGTTTTATTTTTTTGAAAATCTTTTTGATTAAAGTCGTTGTATAATATGAATGCTTCAATAATTACTGCCACATTCATATTTAAAATAATTATCGAACGAATGATTTACCTTACTCTTAGAACACGTTTTTTTGATAGTTTAATAGCTTAATTTAAATGTTTAGGAAATTATTAAATGGAAATGTGAAAGTAATTATTATTCGTTTCGTAGATGTAATTTTACATGGTTTAATTTAATTATCGTTGTATAGCTGCTTTGTATATTATTATTAGGTATGTCTAAGGTAACCTTGTATATTCTATACTATAATATATAATGATATTTAATTTTTCTTAAAACTACTCAAGTTTATTAAATATTATAAATATTTTATTTGTTTTTTAAATATCTACTTATAAATTACTTTGAATAATACGTTTAAACTAAGAACTTCATGTTTCATTCATTGTTTTTTCTGTCGTTATTATAATCTGTCTATGGTTTACGTTAAAGTTTAAGTGCTTTTTTTTAAATTAAAAAGCCACTTTTGGTTGATGAACCATTTGCGCTTGTTCTTAGTAAAGCATGTTATGTGTAATTGTACATAAAAGTTCCCGAATAACCTTATAGTTCATATAAACGAATCTTTTGTAATATAGAAGCCAATGTCCGTTTGCATTTTATTGTTTTATTTTATATTTGTGGTGCAATAAATGCATGATTGTGTTTAATTTTTTGAATATAACTTTTAAGATTTAAAAGAAAATCGGTTTTTATATATTTTTTAATAGAAAATGTAAAAAATGTCTACGTTTTTTCATTGGACATTTAAACTGTTTGTAGATAAGTTACTTTGGGGTAGTACTGGAACGTCTGGAACATTAGTTACTATTGTAATGTTAATGCAGGAAAGACACATTTATATTATACCTTTGATCTTTAGATATCTTAACATATAAACATTTTAAACATAAGAATTTTTAAAATTTTTAGGATTTTAATTATAGTGAAATAGTTATAGATACTCTTATATCGTAAAAGTGTTTATACACGGTTAAAAATGTAATTTACAGTGTTATTTATTTATTTATTAAAAGTAAATGTATATTGTGCTGCTTTAGATTATGATTGTTGATTTATGTTTTAATTCAATTTTTCTTATGTATTTTGTTAATTTATTTTGCTTTGGTTATAAAGAAAAACAAAAAACAATCAAGATATTTTATATAAAATAAATTACTATGAATGAAATATTTAAATATTTTAAAATGTTTGGTAAACTTAAGTATTTTATGGTATGTCAAACTCCATTAAAATTTATAAGTATTAGATTCATAAGCGAAAAACAAAAAAAAATATAACTATATCGCTGGAAATATTTTTTAATCAAGACTTTATATTTTACGAAAAAACATTTAACATATTAATTTAAATTAAATGACCCTCCAGCAATATTCAAGTACTTTTAGAGTAATAGAACAAGCGTTGATATTTTGACCATTTTTGGAGATTTTTTTTCATCCACGTTTTATTTGATTATTGTGAATGTTGTCAGTTGATGTGAGATAATAATTAATGATCAACTTAAGTAAAATATTATAGTTAACAGGCCGAGTGTCTATGAGTATATGTGATAATTAAGTTTCATATTAGTCAATTATCACTTGAATTCACGTGACACGTTGAGCATATTTTTATATTTTTTATGGGTAATTACATTGCATAACATCCCCATCGTTTCTACCATTTTGACGTGCTATAATGTTTGTAAATCTCGAGTGATCGAAAGTATTGAATTCAAAATAATAATAAACATTTTCGGTTATCTCACAGTCAAGGTATTAAAAACTTCCTTTCAATCTCTAGACTAATGTTGCAGCTCCTTTATGAATTTAATATTCCAAATTAAAGGCACAACGTCAAAACGACCGTTCATTTTGATAGATTGTTCGTACTATTGCACTACCAAATATTTTATATTAAAACGTAGATACGTGTTAAATTGTTTTGCCTTATGGAAATTAAGTTATGTCGTATAGTAACTGGTATGTATGCCATAAATGCATTGTGCGCTAAACTTGAATCAATCTATGTTTATAATATATTATGTTGTGTACTGTAGTATCATGATAACTATCATTGGTGCTCAGAGATCCGTTTTTTATAAACTATAAGGTTATTAGGGAACTTTTATAGAAAAAATAAATAAGTAGAATTATATGGAACATGCTTTTCTAAGAAGAAGCATAATTGAATCATTGGCCAAAAGTGCCTTTTTAATTTAAAAAAATTAAATCATGTAAAATTACAACTAAAAAATGAATAACAATTACTTTTACATTTCTATTTAATAATTTCTTAAATATTTTAATTAAGCTATTAAACTATCAAAAAAATGTGATCGGAGAGTAAGGTAAATCATTCATTTGATCATAATTTTAAATATAAATATGGTACCTAGTAATTATTGAAGCATTCATATTATACTATGATTCTGATCAGAAAGATTTTCAAATAAATGAAACGTGTTACTTATTATTAAATGTATTTTTCTTGTTACCACTTGAAAAGTAAACTTCGAAAGAGTTTCCATAAATATTTGAAATCTGCAATATATTGTTTTGCTTTACTCACTAAATCATAACTTATAATGTCCCTATTTGACATGAGAGTTGATATAATTTTTAGGGAGATTAAGATTTAACGTAATATAATATTTAAAGCTCTATCAGAGTCGATTACTACATTATGTTCGTCAATTAATTTAAGTCATAGTCTTAAATTTTTAATAAATAATAAATATTATTAAAATTTAATCAAATTACATTTATTAACTGTACTTCTAATAAATTAATTTTTATTCGATTAAAAAAATATTCATGACTACAGTGTATATAAATATATTTATACTGTTATTATATTTTCTTACTAGTATTAAAATTTATATTTTAAGGAAATTTCGAAAATAATTAAATGTTGTATTTAAGGATGTAGTATTAAAGTATTTTTATATTTTATGTGGACAAATATTAATAAAATTTTTTTTTTCCATTTAACCTTTAGCATTAGAAGAACTTCTACCTCATTTATGATATAAATCTGTTTATATGTTACTTTTATTTTAATTACTCAATCAATTATTATCAATTAACGTACCTATTATAAGAATGAATATTACGCGTTATTAATTTTATAACCTTTTAAGAAAATATAATTTTACTACTAACTATTCATCAAGAAAAATATACCAACGTTTAATTCTGATTTCTTCCCAAGAAAATGTATTTTCGCCACTTATTACTTGAATTTTATTTAAAAACAGTTGAGTTGATTTTTTTGATTATTTAATAAAATATAATAATGACTTATAGGGCATGACAAATCAATATTAATTGGTTGAAGATTTTTTGAAATATGTTTGATTATTTTTATGGGCGTCAAATCATTTATTCAAATGTCAAATGTTGAAATGTCATATTGATTGATTTAATTTTGGTGATTGATTTACACTACACGTAATAACATTTCTTTATTTTAAATTTGTACCTATAGATAGAAACTCTAAAACTTTAAGATCTCTAAAATATTCAATCTTAATATTTATTTGCATACTGAATACCGTAATTAACATTGAGTTAATACTGTTTTTTAGAAATGTGACATGGAGGGGATTTTATTCAACTCTTTTGTCAAAAATTTTTTAAGATAGACATGAAATAATAATAATAAAAAAAATTAATTGCAAAAAAATATTTTTTTAATTTGAAGTCTTCAACACTGTTAATCATTAATCATCTTCTTATTCATAGCACGACCATTATATGTACAGTATATATATTATACATGCATAATTTCACGATGTGTTGCGTTTGAAGAATTCAATAGACATAATATTGTGTTTGAATTAGAAGATTGTTATGGGTACCTACTTATATAAAGGAACTGTTCCATTTTACTGCACAAACTATCATAAACTATAACTATAACTATATCATCATACACAAATATTTTTGTGCATTAAACAGTTAATAAAAACAATATACTTTGAATACATTTTATAAAACAATTTAATAATTATTTTAAATGTGAGTTTATTTTACTTATAAAATTCATACACATTACGCATACAAAAATTCTTAATATTATGTACATTTCATTATATCTATAGTTTATATTATAAAATTAGAAATTAAGTGCTAAATATATAGTTTAGATAATATTCTAGTGTAATATAATTTACAAATATATAAAAGTTCTAAATTTGTATTTATTGTCAAAATGTTTAAAAAAAATTGTAAAAAAATGTAAAAAAGTAGCACATATTTTATTTATAAAATTTATAAATACATTATACACTTTAAAAAATTTTATAATAACTGTTTTAAATGATTTATCATTACTAATATAAAGCAATTGAAAATTATTTTCTGTACAGACGTTCACATATATTTTTCAAGTAACAAGTTTAAATAAACATGATAAAATCTGATCTCGAAAAAAATCATTTAAAACATATTTTCTATATTTACAGTGATTTTTTAATCTTTATAGATCTTGCGTTGTAATCGAATCCATAAGACCATGCTCATTGCACTCGATATTAATGTCACTGCGATCATAAACGAATACGTCATGTAAAACTTTTTTGATGAGATGCATAGAGTTCTATCGCCTGCAAACAGATTACAATTTAGAGTTAATTTATTTTACACAAAAATATTATAAATGTCATAATATTAAGTGTGTTTGTTGATGTAAAATTGAGTGTAAACGTATATATTCATAAGTTATATTATGTTAAATCGATATTATATACTGCTAAAGTGTAATATGAAACTAGATACTAAAATATTATGTTATAATATTATAATAAAATAAAAACTAACGATATATCTGAACTGTATGTACAATTAAAACCGTAAACATACCTATAAAGTAAAGATTTTATTATTATTATATTATCGTTAGAAGAAAAAAATAATCTTAGGTAGGTAGCTTTAATGTAGTTAGATAGTTAGGATTGCATAATCAAATTATGATTTTTTTTTTATTTATTCTAAATCTATATTTAACAGTAAAGTGAGTATTAAAAAGGAAAAAAAATGTTTCATCAAAAGCGTATAGTAGTTTATATTAAATTAAAAATATATTTTAAAGAAGATGTAACACTTCAGAAAAAATAAAAAAATAACTTTCTTATGCTATCAACAACTATATAAGGTATGAATATGTTATTTATATATTATAATTTTAACTATACTATAAATAGAATAATGCTTGTATGTAATACTTATAGGTGTTTATGTGATACTTACGCATTCAAATTAAAAAATAAACATAATTAATTTTTAATATTAATTAGACGAGAATTAAAAATACCGATTAGGTACACGTTTCCTATTTTTTTTTCATTTATAAAAATTCACTACCATATAAGTCGTTATCTTCTTTATAGATTCGCGTAATATATTATTTCGTATTTTAATTATGTTTTAAGTGAAAGTTAATATTGTTGATTTTATAAATATAACACTTAACGCCTACTTTATAAACAAGATTGATGGTTATTCAATAAATACTACATATCATAAAATAAATACATTTTTAAGTAAAAAATAATGTTAAATAATATATTATTATACAAGTTTATTTACTGTTAAAAATTGATTTATTTGTGAATGTAGTTTCATATTTTAATTATCGTTCCATGGCTATATATCTGAATTTTTAAATGATTATTTGAAATCGTCTGGATCTTTTAAATTAGTGATTATGTGGATGGCCAAATAGTTAATTAATAACACAATACGAAATATTACGTCTTATAAATTATAGATTCTGCTTTCAACTTTGAACACAAGTGGTGCACTGGGGGGTATACGGAGGTATACGACGTATACCTAATACGCTATTTGTATCCATGGCGTATGGCTTATGACAAATTAATGATACGGGGGTATACGGCCGTATCTACTGTATATTCTGTATAGAAATTTTAAATAATATATCAAGTATCATATCATGGTTGTAGATAAGTATAATACATCAATAACCTTGCAACTACGATATCTCGATAGTTGATTGTTGATTGTATAACACTTTTTTTTTGTGGTATCACAATATTATTGTAATGTGTATAAAAAATTTACGTTTTAAATTTTTTGTTTAAAATGTAAACTATTTTTAGTATTAAAATATTAATTGATAAAATAATTTATTGTTTTTAATGTAGTATATTGTTAAGAAAAATAAAAGTTATAGTTGGAGCGGAGTGAGAAAAATTTGTTTGGACCCTATACCTGGATCTCTCCATTAAATATATTTACGTGAATAAGGCGTATACCTACACACGGTTTATTTTAGCAATACATCACTGAACACAGCATAACACTTCCTTGTATAGTAACAAAGGTTATTCCTCCTTGAAAGGTACTGGACGACGATGTTTAAGTTTGATTAGTTATTTGCTAAGTGATTTTATCAACTACCATAATGATTACTAGGTGATAGGTAAGTTAACATCATCACATATCAAGGCGTATGCATAGTTAAGTTAACAAATAGATTTTAAAAGTGTTTTAGAAGCCATTCATATATAAATATACATTATTATAATATAAATAATAAATGTTAAACCTTTCCAATGTACCTACATTATTTGTTAATGTCATATTGTATGAAAGTGTATTTCATGTTTTTTAGTTACAATAATAAAATTGTCGATCAACTATAGAACTTCATCAAAGAGTCGTTTTCGCTGCTATGATATACCAAATAATATCAAACGTTGCCGTTTGCGTTGTTATAATAATAACGGAAAGTTATTTTAATTAAAAAAAAAATAAAAAATAAAATACCAAATAAACGGTTTTGTTTCATTGCAACAGTTATTTTCTCAGTACTGTTGTCGACTATTTTTATCTGGGAGCGTAAAATTATGGTCATACATTATAATATCATCATAATATGATAAATGTATAATCTACTACGCTATGACAATGTAAAAGGACGACAAAGTTTTAATTATCGCACTTAACGACAGAATGATATCACACACTACCTGGAGGTGCCTATATAATACCGCTATTGTATTGTATTATGTTGTCGATATTATTATTATTAATAATATTATTGTTTTATACTATTATCATCATTATCATTATTGTCGTCGTCGTTTTGTTTTCAGTTATTACCCTTCGTGAATGCTTGAAGCGGATCGAATACGTCGGTGGCGGTCTGATTGAAATTGTCGGCTAGTAGGTCGTCGGGCGAGTATACGTGTACGCGGCCGACCAACATCATGGAATCCGCAATATCGTCGGACGTATTGATTGTCGAACCATTCGTCGCAATATTGTACACGTCTCGTCTTTTACGACCGGGATCGATTTTCTGTGGAACAATTATTATTGTTATTATTACTATATGCGCGTGATCGTGACCTGTGACATCCACGAGTGAAAGCCTAGCCAGGCAGCCAGCAGCCGATCGTGCTCACTGCAGCCGTGCAGTGTTTTGTTTATAAATAGACATTATTGTGTGTAAGAAAAATTATTTAATAAACTGTAAATAATAATAATAATAAAAAAAGAAATAAATATTTCGCGGGAGAACGGAGAAATTGGTGAAAAAAAAAATTAAAACAAAACATAACCAGCATAATATTATCTCTCGATTACCGGCGATTATTATTGTGCAGTGTATAATATTAAAATAACGACGTTTTGATTGATATGTTCTGCGTTTTACACGTGGGATCGTTTTCAATCTTTCGCGGAATCGCCAAAACAACCGGAACCAGTCTGGTGGACATCTGCACCGTCGGTATAATGAATATATATTATTATTATACATAGGTTATAATTATTAACGATGATATAATTATGTAAATTACAGTTTAAACAATCTGGTAGGTACCTTCTTTTCTATAATACTATGCAATTGCGCATATCACACCGCACGATATATAATTATAATGTATGCGTATGTCAGGTGAGCGTTTATCCGGCGGTTCTATACGTGAGCACAATACATAACATTATATTCCGATTTTTACACGCGGTTTCGTTAGATTTATTTTCTCCGGACGTTTCTATGACGGTTGTCGTGCGATAAACAATACCATATAACATTAAAATAGTGATTAACCTGCACCGAATAAATGCATATTCCAAACAATTCAATCCATGTATTTTGTTGAACGCGTAAAAATATCATAATAAATTTAAAAGTCATTTTAATCGTCGATTACCCAATATACTCAAAGCTGTCTACTAAGCGATTCGCGTTGGAAATATTGAGCTCAATAAATATTAACAGTTGTAGTGTTATTATAATTTGATGAATTACTTTCGCTACTTCAAAAAAATCGACAAGTATTATAATATTAATTATTGTTGAGTTTGTGCATTATTGAAAAATTATGATCATTGTATTACGTATTATACGCACTTGATTAGTTTCCGAACACGGCTGACAGTTGAATTTGCATAGTTCGACGTTGCACTCGATCAACAGGTCCATGACGTCCGGAAATTTGAATGCCTATAAAGTATTAATAATAATAGCATTCGACAAACTAAACATAACTTGCAAATTATATAGGTATCAATCATAGGATTCAATTAATATATCATCGATGTTAATATATAGTAACAGGGCGACGGTTGAAGCCAAAAATATTGTTTATAACTTTTAGCTAAATTGTGAACGCATGTTTTTTTAACGGTTAGGAATCGATAAAATAGAATTTAAATAATATAAAACATTTTATTTCTATGGGTGATTTTTTTTCATGAAAATTTACAATATTATATTATATGAGATATGTCCTATATACTATAATCATTATAATTAGTATAGAAGTGCATTACTAAAAAATTAAAATGTATTACAAATTATCATCCTAAATTAATAAAATTCTCCGGGCACTATTTTATTATTCTAGAAAATACCAAGAAACACCTGAAAGTTTTCGTGTTTATATACTATTCATAGTTATTCCCTTTCTAGGATATCAAATGAATACAATTAATAGTATATATTATTTAATAATTTAACATGGTACAATACAATTTATGTTTACTATATATTATAAAGGTACATACTTGGAAATAAGCGTAGGCTATCAACGATCCGGTAGCCGGGTTCGTTGTTGTTTGGAAGCTGCCGAAAAGTTTGGGTTTCGCGACGCACCCTTGGGCGTCGGTCAGTTGCAGTTGATTGCCTGACTCTGGGTTGTTATCACGGGCCACACATTCTCTAACTAAAACGTTAAATCCGGGGTCACCATCCACCGTCACAACCAACGTCATAGTCTCGCCAATTTTTACCAGACCATTAGCGATCGGGGCGAATGGTCCTTTGCCGGCCTGCAAAAACACGCGTTGTCGATAGTGTTAGTAAAGAAAAAGTTAAAATACAACACTTTCCTCAAAAAAAAAAAAAAAAATAAATAAATAAATAAATAATAAAATAAAATAAGGGTATTGGTAAACTATAGTAATATACTATAGTATTTTGTGCATATATTATAGTATTATAAGAATTTAGAAAAAAAATAATCATAAAAAAGTATATTGGTATAAAAAGTAATGGCTAAAAATAATAAAAAGCATTCAGAAAAAAAGTATACTGCAACTATATCTACTTAATATTCGAATCAAAACATTAAAAAAATAAATATAATAAAATAATAATAATCATTTTTATTATTATTTTAATACCTAATAAAACCGTTTGATAATAGTAATTAACAGTAACAGTTCCTATTTCATGTAAAGTCTGTTTTTAATGTCACGTATCATATTATGATATATACAAACCACTAGCTTATGTTTAATAAAATCTACATTAAGCAACTAATTTGTTAATTAATTTAACATTTATTAATGTTTTTAAGCTACCTATTTTACATTTTTTTTTATCGTTTTACTCATCACTGTTATAGGCAATTTTACTTTTTACATTACATAATATGACGATAATTTAAACAAAAGATTAAATAATTGTATTAATAAAAATATAAATAATATTTATTTTTGTAAGTAAAAGCATATACTTTTTATAATTGGTTTTTCTTAAGTATCTACTATATAAAAAAAAAATACTTTTTAAACAATACTTTCTATTATACTGTAGTGATAATTATTAACAAGTAGAATCCTACTTTGTTTTCAGATATATCATACATAATATAGATACCCATCGGGAAACTGTATTAAAAATATATTATGCAATTGTATTGTGAATTTCATAAATTTCATTGCACATCACTTTCACAACGAAAATCGAACATGATTTTTAAATATATTATTCAATTTAAATTTAAGATTGTGCTGTAGAAAATATATTATTAATGATTAGATTAGTTTTATTAAAACACGTAGGAGTTGAGTTTTTGATTGAAATGAACAAATTTAAAAATAATAATAAAAGCAACCATGATAAAGTTTGAATTAATAATTAAAATTTAACATAATATTAATGAACAAATGGTGGTTTGACATATAATTATTAGTATACGTCAATTTAAGTTAATGATTTTTTTTTCTCAAAAATTAATCACGTGTTAGATTTTTTAATGAATCTTCTTGTTTAAATTAAATTTTATTTTAATAATTTCATTGAGTTATAGAGAATAACCCAAAGAATTTTTAAGTTAATCATGTTATTATAAACATATTATTATCATGTTATTGATTTAATTATTTAATTCAAAAACATTTAGCTTCACACTTGCTCGTTTTGTAATTATCTAATGGAAAACACATTATTTATCTGAAAATATTACGTTTGGAAAACACAATAAATTGCTTGGCTTTCGTTAGCTATAGGCATTATATTATTTTTGTTATTGAAAAATATGATTAAAATAATAATATAATCGCTGTTACTTGGATATCCAGTCGGGCAGTTGCTGTATCTCCGCTGAATGTTACCACTTCCTGGTTCAACATACCAATATTCAACGCGATAGACAGAGCTTTGTTTAAATTACCTTCCCACAGACATCTGACACTACGTATGACATCCCAGACCTAAACGAATTGTCATGATCATGAGTGTATAACCACTTATATATATATAAGTGTACGAAAACACAACGACTGGGACTTACTTCTTGTATACCCGGTTCGTTTTGCACGACCAATACGTTTTCTAAGTATGACTGTTTACCCGAAGAGAATTCATCGACGAAACGTGTCCCGCAAGAGTTCAACATCACTCTGAAGGAATATTTCGTCTGGCCGGAATTCGGGTTCACATATCTGCACTCTGGTGAGTTGTAGAACCCCTGCGTGGAACAATAATTATGTATTTATCAGCAGAGACCAAGTATAATAATGACATGTTAAAGCGTTCTATATTTTATACTGGTGGGTAGACGGATTTACTAGGAATTTACATGCGCTGGACGACCCATCGAACGCTATGTACCTACGGACTCTATAGTCTATACATTACTCAATAAATAATAATTATTCTACCAGTACAGTAGCCAATGGCATGATAAGGTGATTTTCCGGAATGGTGTAAATTTGTATAATATAGAAAATGAAGAATGTTGTATTTTTGACAAAAAAATCTTAATTAATTGAAATATCGTTATAGATGATAAAAATATCAATACTAACTATTGAATGATATTATCAAGTTAGTAGCTACTAGTAGATAAACGTCTTAAAAAAAAAAATATTTATAAATTTTAAAATTTTAAATTTAAATTACTAAAGTACAATAATTTTTACTTATTATAAATTTAAAGAATACATATTTTTTATTATCTAGAGATACTCTGACACGTCATAGAAAGTTTCTAAATACGTCATTGTGTCAGTCATAAACTAAAAAATAAACTATGTGTTACTATTTGAGTGAGAAGCAAATATATAATGTCATCATAACAACTTATTAATCATTTTTATCAATTCATAATGATATTAATTTCTTACATTTTTAAAAGCTGGCTGGAAAAAAGAGCGCAGACTTTAATATCATTAGATCTCAAGGACGACTTAGGTCTTAGAGTATATTTCGAGAAAGAAAAGTTTTTTTGTCGGAATTAAATTGGATGATATCATTTTGACATACCTATAAAGAACAACTATACCAACCTTTGAGTAAATAATGCCATAGTACGGTTTGTTAAATTCGACATTGATGGTCATCATGTCTTTTGAACACTGCACGTTCATCTCGTGTATGTGTGGGGGGTGTATAATATCGTTGGTGTTGAATTGTAAGTTTTGTGGGTTTTCCAATTCTGGTTGCAACGATGGATTAATGACCTGAAAACTAGTCGGTACGTCCACGAAGCCCGGTGTTTGTGGTGAAGCGTCTGGTGACAATGAGGGTTGTATTTCAGAGCCAGCAATCGGTGCCTGAGGCTGTGGTGGCGTATCCTCTGAAGGTGGTACAGACTGACTGGGTTCGAGAGTCTGTCCAAAGAATGGGTTTATGGCTGCAGACGAAGTGGCGGTGGGCTGGTATTGGGATGAGGTTGTTGGTATGATGAACTCCGGTTTTGGTGACGGTTGCGGAGGTAGATAACCCCGGAAGTCCGATTGAGCAGGAGAGACTCCAAATGGACGAGGACGCTGTTCGATATTGTTCTGGCGAGCTAAAAACATAGTCAAATCGTTATCACAATGAAACTTCACTTAATTAGTATAGTATAGTTCAAAATATATTAACTTTTAAGTGTCGTATAAAATAATACATTAATACGGTCAAGTGAAAATCGAAAATCAATCAACGTATGATTTCAATATAATAATTATGTATACATCGAACGATAGTTCATTGTTTTATGAATTTAAATTTAAGATTCATTTAGACCATTGCAATACATAAGTCATAGGTATAAAGATTAGAGTTGGATAATTTAATACGATTTGTTCACATTCTTTACGTGTATATAATATATAATGCCAAAATGAGAGTCTATTTAATTATTTAGCATTATTCAGCCTATTAAAGTAATTCAATAGGTAACTTTTATGATATTACCCGAACGCTGGTTCTGTTGATTTTGGTATCTTGTTTGCAGCCATGTGAGTATATGGTCTACCGTTTGGTCCATAGGGTTTGGAGCTATTTGGGCTACTTTCGTGTGTATTTCTAAAATGTGGACAAGTCAAATTAAATATATTAATAATGGATAATACGTAAATTGCACTTTTCACTTTGTAGAGTATTCACCTCTTGCTTTTCTTATGTCATCGGTTTTGACAAATAGAGCTTGATCATATTTTACGCCCAATGCCTGAAAGACAATTACGTTATATTATAGTAATAATGTTAACTATTATTATTTTAAGTGGTGTCACTCAGTTTCTCTTACTGCATTATATATCTGCGCGATGATTAACAAGCTCGTCGCCCAATGACGGGTCATTGTGAGAGATCGATCTATAAAGATACATATATGTATGAATTAATGATCTTTATGCGTATTGGAAGTATACATATATAAAAATAGTTACCAATAATATAATATAAATCGAATTTTTCAGGAGGTTAGAGTGGGAACTCGAGTTACCGACGTTTTTATCTGAATTTGATGGATTATCTGTACTCCTTTCACCTGGTTTTTTTAAGAATTCGTTTTTTAAAGATTAATAGTAAAAAACAAAAAAAAAACGTGGTTCAATACTTTTCTTTAACGAAAAATATTTAAAACGAGACTAACGCCAATAATATATTTTATTATAATAGTAGCAGTAATAACAAGATTATTATTAGAAAATAAATTGGAATTTGGAAGAAAGAGAATGGGTTAAGAGCCCGTGGGAGCCGATGTATTGTAGACACTCAAGGAATAATAATAATAATTTCATGAATATTTACCATAAATACCACTGTGCGAGATTCTACGTTGTTAATTATAGATATGTATGAAAGTTTCTAAAGTATTAGATTTTTTTTTCACATCTAACAAAGAAAATGTAGGTACTTACAACAATTTTGGAATACATCCAAACAAAAAAAAACTTATGCAGGTAATTTAATTTCAACTATCGTTTATTAACTAACCACCTATTGTAAAATTAAAACCAGATTTGTCAGGTTTAAAATTTTACTTGCTTACCAACCGTTTTTTACAAGCTTATCAAGTTTCATTAAAATAATTAACTTCTACATAAAAAAAAAATATTTACTTGTGATAATTTATCGTGTATCGTATATAAATCTTTATTTTTGTTTAGTTTGTTGTTTAAAATACCAGAATCAATAATGTTTTTAAATATTTTAAATTAAATAATAGTTTTTTTTCTGGTTATTAAATCATGATCAAAAATATTTATATTTAATCTTATAAGTTTTAATTTTAGTATAATCAAAATATAGAGTATGAAAGCATTTTTTTTTTTTTGAATAAGAAAAAATTTTTAATGAGTTTATAGTTGAAAGTAATTTATTTCTTATTGGATACTACGGAGTTTATGCATATTACATATAGGTACTTCTTAATAAGTTATGTTTTGAAATATTGTAATTTTATTTAATACTACTTTTTATTATAATATACTATTCACTAAAGTCGATTGTTAGAGTATTGTTACTCGATAGAAAACATTTATATATTTATTATAGCTGACGAATAAATGAAGGTTTAACAAAAAAGTTTATGTACTACCTTATATAGTTTTATTTTTGTTTTTATAAAAGACTGATAAATTAAAAAAGTATTTGAAAACAAGTGATTAAATTTAAATTAGGTACTTTTTTAAATAAACGAGACTCATGATATCTATACGTTTTACATTTATATTATATCATCTTATTTTTAAATATTCAATAAGAATCGTTAAACATATTCGTAAATTACAACGCATAATTTATAAATTTATAAAAATATTATTTTCTTAAAATACCTAAATTAACTAATTATTTTTAATTTTAATTTCATTAGTTACGTTTTATTATGAATGAATTAAACTAAGATTGAGTCTAAAACTAAATAACTGTTGAATTTTATATTAAGTAATTATGTAAATTATTCAAAATATTTAATTAATAAAATTTTATATTTAATTATAAAATATTTGTATAAAAAAAAGTATATAATATTTATGATTGTGTTTAAAATACTAAATTAACTATTGTTTGAAATTATGTTTGCCCGAGTTTTGATAAAATATTTGTTTTAATTGGATTATATCAATTATTTAACTTCGCTTTATAATATTACTGCAAGAACCTTTAGAAATAAAAACTTATATATCCCGAGGAGATTATTATTATTTGATTATTTCACGACGGTTTTCGGTATAAAAATATTAGGTACATAGAAAGGAATGTTAAAAAGTCCTACGCGTGATTGTAGATCATTATCAGAAGGATACTCATTACATCGTTTATTTTTTTTATTAAGATGAGGAATATTTTTTGCATTTAGGATCATCATTGTAATGCGAATAACCACAGTTATTAGTAATGCTTTTTCTTTATCGTGAGGTCATTCATTAGCATTTCAACTTAATTTTATTCCTTCTAGGCTTATATTATGTACCTATACATTGTGGCTTGGTATTTCTCTTGGGAGATATCAATGCAAATTATACCAACAGAGTTATGCCGATAAAAAAAAACGCACATTATCTAACCTCTGTATGCTGTCAGTTTAGAAAAAAAAACCCTAAAAGTCCATTTTGTTCTCACGGTAATTTTACTAGTTTAATAAATGTGATATAGTTGCTCATGAGTGAATTTTACCTATGCTAATATTCGTTTTAAAGAATATTTTCAAAAATATAATAATAAAATTATAAATACATAATTTTTCAATTTTGTTCATTTTAAATACATATGCATATTGTTTATATATATATATATATATATGTTTAGATTATAAATATAAGGCAAAGACAGTATACACGAATATGATTTATTGAAATTTGTGAGTTGAGAAATAATATGTTCTAATATGAATAATATGATCTATTATACTTATATTATTATACATTTCGTTTAACTTATTTTCATAAAAATATTTAATTTAGTTTTTAATTTTTATCATTTTTATATTATTTTATCTTTAATAATATTATTTAGGTAGTTTAAGTAATTAGTAATTACATATTATTAATTTACTTTACAGTCATATATTTTTACATCGTTATAGTATCTCTAATAATATATGATAAATAATTATAGAATGCGTTTAATATTTATATTTTAAAATTAAATAAAAATACACTTGTATAATACGTCGAATATTATTATAAATATTACATAATAATAGGTAATAATATGATATATTTTTTATTTATAATAATTTTTAAATTGCTATTTAGCTTTTTTAATTTTCCAAAAGATTTTTTGTAAAATAATCACATACATTCATTTGGTATTCTAAATATGAGATCTTTATATGTTATTAGTGTGTATTGATATTATTAATTGTTTTATTTTATATTTAGAAAAACACCATGGAGACAAAGGAAATTTGCTGTCATAAAAATATATGATGGATTACAATACATTGATTATATTAAAATACCGCAAGAAAAAATATTTGAAATTAAGATAATAGTTTGTGTGTTGATAAATTTTTATAACCAATTTTACCATAAAGTATTGACTTATTAAATTAATTATTTTAATTTTGTTATTTTTTTGGGGCATTTATAATATAATAATTAATTATATTTAATAATGAATTATTATGACTGTATATTTTCAATTGATGTAGGTACATAAATTGCAAAAATAAAGGTTTTAAATATTTTACAAATATATTTTAATGAACAATTATAATTACTTTCATAAATTAAAATAAAAAAATTTAAAAATAATACATGTACATTTTAAAGCAGTTACTATAATAATTCATAGCACATGTTCAGGGATGAAAAAGATATTTGAAAAAAGTATCTCGACATTTTAAATCACAAGATATGTCAATGTTTACTTCTAGATAAAAGATATGAATAATTTCGAAAAGATACTAGCTAGATTTTATATTTATACTTCAAGGTAAATTTTTTTAAATAGTTATAATAGAAAGTAAAATTTTTAAAATTCAAAATACTTTAATGTAATTTATTTAACTTAGTACATATTTATAAATTATATTTATATATACTCTAATGTTTATCTATTGAGTATTGATTCAAGGATAATACACTTTATTTCTAGATGCATAATGGTACAGACTATATTACAATTGATGTCTGATGAAGAATACTCGTATTACGATTTCGAAAACCAATTTTGTTCATAAATCATCATAAAAGATTCTACCAGAGTCAAGAATAAATAAAACATTAGAAAATCTAAATAAAAAATTAACGTCACATAATTTCAGTCATAAAAGAATATTTTTGGCATCATAGCAAAAAATAATAAAACACATTGTCATAATTCAAAATTTTAAAATGTTTATTATCTTCATAGTTAAGTGTTTTAGATCTTTTTGGAGCTTATAGTTTGTCGTAAATATAAATAGTTATTTGTTATATTATTATAACAATGTAAGGAAGTTATACAAAATGTTTTAAGTTCTTTCGTTGACCCACAGTGTAACATTCATCATGTTTGATGAAATTTTAACGTTACCTATATATTTTACGAGGTACATTCTATTCACACGTATATTGTATACAATGATAATAATAATAACGTGTGTATACTTACTACAGTTGTAATAATTTATATGGTTGTAAATGTGTAATCGTAATGTATATGAATGTGATATAATTTACTCGTTATATCACTTGCATTTTCGTAGGATCACTATAATTTATAATTAAACAAGACACCATAATATACATATATTAAAATAGTATACCTACCTATTTTTCATTCGACTAATCCTGCCGCGTAACATAATGTATAATAACATAATAAACACTGCAAGAAAGGAGGGGTGAAAAACCGTGAGACTTATTTGCGTACGGTGTAAAGCCATTTAATTACTGGATGCTCTGGTTTATTGTTATTTAATAAACCTATTTTTAATTTCTCGTGTTTTTATCTTACGTTTTTCGTATTCGGAATATTTTCAGAACAACAATATAGCAATCAGACGTGTAACAAGTTATTTAACTGTGTCCGCGAGCGAGCGCGCGTGCACACACACCCACATACACATGCGCGTTGGCTGTAAAACGCGGAATTATTCGTAACTATATAATATGCCGAATATTATGCGCCACGACGTGACGAAATGTAAACTACCATTCGAGCTTAGAGTACCTACATCATGTATTTACTGAACAAATAAACGCGGGACTGATCTTGACCGAATAAATTAGCTTTATCGTGTGCATGCCTTTTGCGTTTTTTCCGTGAGAAATGAATCGAATGGCCAGAAAAAAAACCCAAAAGCGTTTCCTAATGTTTTTTTTTTTTTTATTGTATTATTTTTTTTACGTACCTTATACGTTCTTGTACAATGATTAAAAATGCTAGTGAATTAGAATAATATTTTTTCATTTCTCAAAATAACACGTGCCTCTATGCAATACAGTCTTGGGTTATAAATAATAATAACACTTACTTACGTAGCTACATAATAAACACTATGCGTGGAGTAGTAGCTACTTTTACAGATATTCTCATAATAAACCGTACCACGAA